GCTCACCGGTCTGCATATCCCCTCGTTCTCCAGGAACCTAGTTGGTGTCGGCTGCCTCCAGGACCTTGGCGTCACCACTACGTTCCCTGGTCACGAGCGGTATGCTGTCTGTACCGAGGCCGCCACTGGTGCCCCCCTTACCACTTTCCCCCGGGACCCGGTGTCCGGCCTGTTCACACTTGACACCGCGACGTCCCCGGCTGGGTCTTCCCCCCAGGTAGCTGCGTCCACCCAGGTTGCTGCTGCGTGCTCCTGTCGGTCCCTCACTCATCCGACTCTCCTTTGGCACCACCGCCTTGGTCACCCTGCACTCCCGCGTCTGCGTCACATGTCCCAGCACGGTCTCGTCCTTGGTCTCCCCGGTTCGTTCCCTGAGTTTCCCTCATCCCCCGCCCCACCGTGCACGCCTTGTGTCGAGGGCCGGCTCCGCCGTGCCCCTCACTCATCCTCTTTTCCCCCTACCACCGCACCCCTGCAGACTCTGCACATGGACGTCTGGGGCCCAGCCCCGGTCCATGGGCCGCGTCGCGAGCGCTTCTTCCTAGTGCTTGTCGACGACTTCACACGTTACACCACCGTCTTTCCCCTGGAGCGGAAGGCCGACGTGCCTGACGTTCTCATCCCCTGGCTTGTCTCTGCTCGTCTCCACCGCGGTCTCCCTGCCTTGCGCCTCCACTCCGACCGGGGTGGCGAGTTCGCCTCAGGTGTCCTTGGTCGCTTCTGTCGTGCGGAGGGCATCACCCAGACGTTTACCCTGCCGGACTCCCCGCAGCAGAATGGGGTCGCTGAGCGACGCATCGGTTTGGTCATGGAGGTGGCTCGCACCTCCATGATCCACGCCGGTGCACCCCATTTTCTGTGGCCGTTCGCCGTGCGCTACGCCGCTCACCAGCTTAACCTGTGGCCGCACCCCCAGCGGCCGCAGGTTTCGCCGACCCTTCTGTGGACCGGGTCCCCTGGTGACGCGTCTGCGTTCCACGTCTGGGGCTGCCTTGCTCACGTTCGTGCCTCTGGCACGGACAAGCTCACTGCCCGCACCCTCCCCTGCGTCTTCCTCGGTTTCCCCCTTGACGCGTCCGACTGGCACTTCTACCACCCGCCGTCTCACCGTTTCTTTCACTCTCGCAACGTCACCTTTGACGAGTCCGTCTCCTTCTTCCGCCGCTTTCCCCACCGTGGTCCCCCGGTTACTCCCCCCCTGTTCCTGGTTCCTCCCTCCCTGGTGGCCCCTGCCCCTCCCCCCCCCCGCCCCCCCGTCCGGCCCCCTCTGGTGTGTCTCACGTCACCCCCCTCCCGTCGGTCGTTCCGGTCGACGAGTCTTCTGACTCTGGTAGTCCTTTGGCGCAGTCCTCGCCGTCTGTCCCTCCCCCGGTGTCTCCTCCTCCACCGCCTCCGCAGCCGCCGTCGCCGCAGCTGCTGCAGCCGTCGTCTCCGCCGCCGCCGCCGTCGAGGCCGTCGCTGCAGCCGCCGCCGCCGCCGCCGTCGTCGCTGCCGCTGTTTGTGGACTCTGGGGGTGCTGGAGTTGAGGTGGGTACTCGTCCCGGGGCTCCTGTCGTGGCTTGTCCCCGCGGGCCTGGGGGTGGTACCGGTGCTGGCGGTGTTTCGGGCTCTGGGGGTGTCCCTTCTGGGGGTGCCGGTGTGGAGGGTTCGGGAGGTAGCCGTCGCGCAGCTTGTGGCCCTGGCGTTGGTGTTGTGTCGCCGCAGCAGCAGTCCCCGCCGGTGTCCGCCCTCCGTCTGCTCGGCCTTCCGTCCCCTGACCCTGCGCCTGTTCCTCTCCGGCCGTCTCCCCCTCTTCCCGTCTACGGCCCCGTGTTCCCTCCGCCGGACTCGTCCCCGGCTCGTTTTCCCCCTCGTTCCCCACCCGTGTCCCCTCCTCTGTCTCCCGACCCGACGCCGCCCTCTCACGTCTGGTCTCGCCGCCCCTCCCGTGCTCGTCCTGTCTCCCCCGTCCCGCGCACTCACCCTATGTTGCTCCGCTCCCACGCGTCTCGTCCTCCCCTCCTCCCGTCTCCTCCTCCGTCCTCTCTTGTCGTTGCGTCTCCTCCTCTGTCTGACTACTTTCGTGCCGCTCGTCCTCTTGTTCCTCGGGTCCTTGCCTCTCTCGTTACCGACCCGTCTGTTCCAGTGTCGAGTCTTGACGCCCTTGTCGCTGCGGTCGCTGACTTCGCCTCTACCCGCCGCCTTGACTACGCCTCCGCTCTGGTCTCTGACCCTGCCTGTCCTCCGTCTGTCGGGGGTGCTCCTGCCCTCGGCAGTGACGTCCTGGAGGACCGCCAGTTTGAGCTTGCTTTCCTGTCCGAGGCTGCTCCCCATCTCTGTTCCATGCTGCTAGTCCCTGAGGGTAACCCAGACGCTTTTGACATCCCGACCCCTCGTACTTACGCTGAGGCGGTTTCGGGACCTTGGGCCTCTCAGTGGATAGCTGCCATGGAGCAGGAGATGGCATCTTGGAGATCCACCGGCACCTTCGTCGACGCAGTTCCCCCACCTGGGGTGAACGTGGTCGATGGCCGTTGGCTCTTCAAGGTGAAGCGCCCTCCTGGAGAGCCGCCTGTGTTCAAGGCGCGTTACGTGGCCAGAGGCTTCAGTCAGCGCGAGGGGGTGGACTTCTTTCAGACTTTCGCTCCTACCCCGAAGATGACTACTCTTCGGGTTCTGCTACACGTAGCGGCTCAGCGTGACTACGAGCTTCACTCCCTCGACTTCTCCACTGCCTTTCTTCAGGGCAGCCTTCACGAGCAGGTCTACCTGCGTCGTCCTCAGGGCTTTACTGGCACCTTCCCCCCTGGGACCCAGTGGCTTCTGCGGCGCCCAGTCTACGGCCTGCGCCAGGCGCCTCGTGAGTGGCACGACACGCTGCGTGCTACTCTTGCTGACCTGCAGTTCTTTCCGTCCTCTGCAGACCCCTCGTTCTTCGTTCGTGCTGGCTCGACTCCGTTCTACATCCTCGTCTACGTAGACGACCTGGTCTTTGCCACAGCTGACAGGGACGCACTGGCCTCCGTGAAGGCAGAGCTGCTGAAGAGACACACCTGCACTGACCTTGGAGAGCTGCGCCGTTACCTTGGCTTGCAGATCTCCAGGGACAGAGCCGCCCGCACCATCACCCTGACTCAGTCACACTTGGTGCGCCAGGTCCTTCAGAGGTTCGGCCTTCAGTTCTCCTCCGCACAGCCCACCCCTCTTCCTCTGGACCACAGACTCTCCGCTCCAGTTCCTGAGGAGTCGGTAGATCCCAGTGGTCCTTACGCTGAGCTAGTGGGTTGCCTCATATACCTGATGACTTGCACTCGCCCAGATCTCGCATACCCTCTCAGCATCCTGGCTCGTTTTGTGGCCACAGGCAGACACCGACCTCAGCACTGGTCTGCCGCTAAGAGGGTTTTGCGTTATCTTGCAAGTACATCGGGCATGGGGTTAGTGCTAGGCGGACGCAGGCCAGTGGTCCTTACTGGACACACAGACGCTTCTTGGGCAGACGACGCCGAGACGCTCAGGTCTTCCCAGGGCTACTGCTTTAGCCTTGGCTCAGGTGCTGTCTCGTGGAGAGCTACCCGCTCCTCGTCGGTTGCCCAGTCCAGCTGTGAGGCTGAGATCTACGCCGGTGCCATGGCGGCACAGGAGCTCCGCTGGCTGACCTTCTTGCTCACTGACTTAGGTGAGCGGCCTAGCTCTGCCCCGGTCCTGTACGCTGACAATAGGGCCATGATTCTCCTGTGTCAGGAGCCTCGACTCGAGGGCAGAGCGAAGCACATCCAGCTGCGGTACTTCCTCCTGCGCGAGCTACAGCAGCGGCGCCAGGCTCGCGTAGTACACTTGGCCTCCGGTGCCTACACAGCTGATATCTTTACGAAGGCGCTTGCGCCTAAAGATCATCAGCGGCACTGTTTACAGCTTGGTCTGGTTCCTGTAGTCTCTCACTTACTCGGGCCTTGACTTTGTACTGTCGTATATATATATATATATGTATACACTCAGACTGGACTTGTGTCCTCTCACAGTGGTTGGACTAGTAGTGCCGCCCTGTACTCGTTCTTGCCTTGTCTGTACTCCTTCTGACTGGTCTTTTAGACCCTTGTCTCAGAGGCTGGACTAGTAGTGCCACCCTGAGCTACTTGTCTAGAACATTCCCCTATGCAGTCCAGGGGGTGTGTCAAACATGTGTAGTTATCATGTTCGTATAGACTGTATAGGGTCACCTTCTAGAGAGTACAACATTTAGGTATATGTTTGTGTACTCTCTCTCTCACATTATTCAATTCTAGGTTTGATATACCTACGTTCCTTCATCCTAGCTACCTAGCTAGTGTCCTAATCTTCTTTGAGAGGTTGTACTCTCTATTACAAGACCCTATGTTGTCTACTAAACATACAGAAGAATGTTTGACAAAGGAAACAAGGCGAGGGGAATCAAATGCACAGGTAGCAGAGTGACAACTTTCTAGGTTTGGAGTGCACCATTCTGGTTCACGTTTTTGCACAGATTTTGGCGAGCGCAGCACTTTCCTCCCGGGCAACCTGGCTTTACAACTTATGAAATTGAACCTTACAGCTATACTTCACCGCAGTTTTAAATCCCATTTCAGGTTTCAGTTGGTAGGGGCCGCGCGAACGCGAGCCCCCTCTGCCACAAATAATGACGTGCATCACCGGGAGTTCCGGCGTGCTAGGAACAGGGCCGGCCGAAGTGCAATGGCGGGCCCACCCCTAGGCCATCGGCCTCCATGATCACCGATTGACCCCGCCCAGGTAAGTATGCTGCTGACAGGTAAAGAATTGAGATATATTGCAAGCATGTGGTTGCGTATATTACTCTGTTGTGGGTTGAGATTGCCACGTGTCTTTTCGACATTGTTGGTTGCGGCAGCTATTGGTGTGAGGGCGTCCAAGCTGGGTACCCAGGAGACGGGGGTTCGACTCCTCCAAAAGTCCACTTTCGATTCCCCAGCGCAAGCACTCCCTACAAGTACCTGCTACAAGTTCGGATCGGAAGTTCGATCTGCCACGTTGGTTACATAGAACCCCCACTGCAAGACTGATCATGAGGGGCGATCGAGTCAGAGAGTCTTCCTCGTCGGCTTTACCCCAGCCCTTATCACAGACAAGTCTCCCGAAGGCCCAGCACTGCGAGCATCTCTGATCGTCGCCGCCAATTCATCCTACACAAGTCAACAGCGGATCGCGGTTTCTCGTTGCGACGGAAGCTAAAGCGAAATCCCTTATTCTCGTTGTCGCCAACGTTACCCTAAATAGGAGTCGCCACTTGACGCGAAAGCTGAAGCGATGGTCGGTAGCGAATCGAATGCCGTTTGGCCTCAGAGCAGGCCACAACGCCATCTCGCTTCTGGTGAGACGAGTGAGAGGGCACCCAGAACCATGCCGCGTACGACCATCTCCTCGCAATGGCACCATGGTCACCACCCGCCCCACCAGCACCCCTCCACCGCCCCTCGCCTCAGCAGCCGCAGCGAGTTGCCCACCACCGTGAGGCTCGTGCCCACGTCTGCCAGCATGGCCAGCCACAGCTGCGCGCGGCCGGCCACAGCCAGCCCCAGCACGGTGCCCTTTACTAGCACCGACACCGCCACATTCTCACACACCACCCACTGCACCGCCCGCCCCAGCCACAGCGCCCGCGCCCGCGCCAGCTGGCGCAGGTCATCTGACATCAGCGCCACGACAGCAGCCTCCATTGCTGACTGACGCGGACGCGATGGTGCCCATGGCGGCGCTGACATCAGCGGGGCGGCGAGGGCGGGCGCGTCGTTGATGGCGTCGACCACCATGCACGTGGCGCCATGGGCCGCCTTGAGCGCTGCCACCGCCGCCACCTTGTCCTCGGGCAGCAGGTGAGCGCGCACCTCCACTGCCGGGTGCAGCTGAGGGCAGGGACGGAGGGAGGGACTGAGGGCAGGGACGGAGCAAGGGGAAGGTTGTGGGTTGGAGCAAGGTAGGCGAGGGAGGAGAAAAAAAGGGGAACGACAAAGGTTGGAAGTCGGCTAAACGCTGCTGTTCGTGGAAGAGGGAGATGCGAGATGGCAAGGGACGCTGCTGCCATCTCCTGGTCGCCATGCTGCTCATCACACACAGCATCCACCTGCCAGCTGTCGTGGCGCGGCGACTGCCCAGGTCCTGATGCCCGTGAGAGCAGTCGTGTGAGTGGATAGTGGATAGGGCAGTGAACGGCAACCAAAAGTGCTGCAAGTAGGCTGACACACTTTGTTCCTTGCACGGGAAATGTGGGGGGACGCCTATCTCTACCTAGGGTGTCTCTCACAGCCTTTGAGGGCCACAATCCCACGTCAACCCTTAAATCGTCCTTCCACCCACCCACGCTCTCGCGTATACTGGCCCTAGTACGTGCAGCCTCCTTCCGATAATGGAAACCCCACAACCAACATACCCCCCTCCCTCCCCCCTCTGCCCCCCTCATTCCCCCCTCGTGCCCCACCTACCACTTCACGCGGCGGGCGGCCCCGGGGTTGTTGCTTGTCAGCACGGCCACGTGCAACCCCAGCTCCCGCACCAGCTGCCCTGCCACCTCAGCTGCTTCGGGCCGAAGCGAGTCAGCGGTGGCAATGGCTGCCTTGGGGATGGCTGTCCACATCGAGCCACGTCACCATGGCCCCGAGGTGCAGCCAGTGGGCGAGCAGCTAGGGGGGGATGTCTGGTGGAAACATAGCAGGGGGAGGTTGGAGGAGTGGAGGAGGGCGGGGGTGGTGAGACATGCCAGGGCGATCATTGGGAGTGCCGCCCATACCGAGGAGGGAGGCGAGGCTGTGGTGTCTCAGACCAGTGGGAGAAGGGAGAAAGGGATGGCTGCGGCACGCATGGGTGGGGAGGTTGGAGACGGAGGGGGGAGAGGTGTGAGACGGGTCGCACCGGTAAGCGATAAGGGAGGGCTTGACGGCTGGTGAGGCTGGGGAGGGGGAGAGGCGCAGGGAGGAGTGGTGGGCGCTTTGGGAGCGCCACTCCGCTGTGTGGCAGGCTGAGCTTGTGTTTGGCTAGGGCGCAGTGGCTGGTGCACCATCGTTGGGTTGGGCCATGGCGCATAGAGGGGAAGGCGTAGCAACGTGGAGGTGTGGGAAGGCGTAGCGACGTGGAGGTGTGGGAAGGCGTAGCGACGTGGAGGTGTGGGAAGGCGAAGGGATGGGGGAAAAGGAATGGAGATATGGAGGGAAGGGTATTGATGCCCTAATGAAGGCAATGGCAGAGCTTGGATTCTGTCATCAGTTAAGGCCGGGTTGGTCTGACTGACACCCATGGTGCTGCACGCATGGTGCTGCACGCATGGTGCTGCATGCATGGTGCTGCACGCATGGTGCTGCATGCATGGTGCTGCACGCATGGTGCTGCATGCATGGTGCTGCATGCATGGTGCTGCACGCATGGTGCTGCATGCATGGTGCTGCACGCATGGTGCTGCATGCATGGTGCTGCACGCATGGTGCTGCATGCATCGTGCGTCTCGAAAAAGAATGGCCTTCCGAATGCTTCTTTGTCAATCTCGAGCATCTCACCATGCGTACATGCATGTCACCATGCGTCCATGCATCTCACCATGCGTCCATGCATGTCACCACACCATGCGTCCATGCATCTCAGCATGTGTCCATGCATCTCACCATGCGTCCATGCATGTCACCATGCGTCCATGCATCTCACCATGCGTCCATGCATGTCACCACACCGTGCGTCCATGCATCTCAGCATGTGTCCATGCATGTCACCATGCGTCCATGCATGTCACCATGCGTCCATGCATGTCACCATGCGTCCATGCATCTCACCTTGCGTCCGTCGCATGTGCAGCGCCATCTCGTTGCCCACCTGCACTCGTCTCCCCCCCACCACCGCCTCTACCCACTCCCCCGCCACTGTGTGAAACCCACTCACGCCACCTCGCTCGCTCTCTGCTGCCTTGCCACACCCCCTTTCAGCAGCATGCTTGTCAGGGAGTACACCATCATCTGCTGCTCTGCTTGCTTCTCCCCCACCACAACCAGCGCCCTTGCAGCAACCTGTGCTGGTTGGAATCGTGCCACATGCCCCAGCATCTTTGCCACATGCCCCAGCATCTTTGCCACATGCCCCAGCAACTTTGCCACATGCCCCAGCAACTTTGCCACATGCCCCAGCGTCTCTGCCACATGCCCGAGCGTTTTTGCCACATGCCCCAGGGTCTTTGCCACATGACCCAGCGTCTTTGCCACATGCCCCAGCGTCTTTGCCACATGACCCAGCGTCTTTGCCACATGCCCCAGCGTCTTTGCCACATGACCCAGTGCCTTTGCCACATGACCCAGCACCGCTATTGCTGCATGCACGGCTGCAAGTGGAAGCTGAACCGGTGCTGGCTGCCACATCAGTGGCAACCACTACCCTCTGCACCTCCTGCACCCCCTGCACCCCTTGGTGGCGGCAGAAGGCGAGGAGGGCCACAGGCGTGGACAGCACGAGGGTGCACGAACAGGCCACCACGAGCAGCAGCAGCGCGAGGCACAGGAAGTAGGAGCGGTCAGCCGGGGGGATGGGGAGCGGCACGAGGGCGCTGAGCAGCAGGCCGAACATGACGGAGGGCGAGTACACAAAGGACTCCACAAGGCGCTGCGCTTGCGAGCGGGTGGACTGCGCTGCCTCGATGAGCGCCACCATGCACGCCACTGCAGAGTCAGACGCCAGGGACGTGGCTCACACGGTGAAGAAGCCTGCAGGGAGAGAGGGGCGTTGGGAAAGTGAGGGGAGACGCAGGGGACACGGGCAAGGAGGGGAATGCGTGGAGTGGGCGGACCTGACAGGACAGAGCATGCAGGCAAAGGCGGATGTGCAGCGAGGGATGTGGGTTGCATGGTGGAGGGCGAGAGAGGTGGGCGATGAGTGCGAGCCGGACGTGCTAGAGGTGGATTAGAAACAGGGGTAACGGGCGGACGGCGGAGGAAAGGCGGTAAGGTGGTTTTGAGGGTGCCCGCCCACACGGGCACGCCTGTGTCCTTCAAGGCTGGCACGGACTCCCCTGTCAGGCTGCTCTCATCCACACTGCTCGCACCGCTCTGCACCACTCCGTCCACCGCCACCATGGCGCCTGGGCGCACTGCAAGCAGCGCCTCCACGGGCCCTTGCTTGTTCCACAGGGTGCAGTGCTCCACCACCCGCCACCGCTTTCACCACTCTGCGACAACCAACCCCACGGCTCGTAGGCGAAGCAGCAAGTGAGATCAAAAAAAGGGTGAGGTTGGCCAACTGGCACCACCGGGGGACAGGACAGGAGGGACTTCACCACCCTGCACCACTACGTGCACTGGCAGAAGCAATGCTATGACCATCCGCGCCAGCGCCCATCCACGCCAGCACCCATCTATGCCAGTGACACCAGAAGGAACGAGTGCAGCACGAGGCAAAAAAACCGGACCGGCTGGTACCTCTGCATTGCTCCCATGTGCATGCTGTGATGGTGCATGCTGTGATGGTGCATACTGTGATGGTGCATGCTGTGATGGTGCATACTGTGATGGTGCATACTGTGATGGTGCATGCTGTGATGGTGCATACTGTGATGGTGCATGCTGTGATGGTGCATTGGGAAAGGGGGGGAACAAGGTGCGACGAAGAAAGGAAATGGGTCTTACACATGCTAACGAAGAAAGAGCCACTCTCGTTAGCTAGCACTGCTACCACTCCCTCACACTCCTCCGTAAACCACCCTATTCACCCCAACCACCCTGAAGCTCCGCTCCGCCCTCCTGCCTCCACCTTCCTTTTCCAATCCCACCCCTGAGAGAGGGGGGTGACTATTCGAGAGGGAAGACGCATGCATGGTTGACTCGCCTTAGCTCGCGTCTTCCAATCTCACCCTACCCCTTGTTAGAATACCGTCAGCGCCCGGATGGAAGACCCATGGGTCTTATCATATCAACCCTAGGCGTTTTAGCTATAAATGGGTTTAAGAACCCGAATTGGGTGTCTTATAAACGGAATAAACGCATGACTTACATATCAGACTGAGTGAAGTGAATGATTAGATAGAGGGAGAGTACAGATAGATATACCTAAGTATTGTACCCTCTAAGAGATGACCCTATACAGTCTATGCAAACATAACAAATACACATGTTTGACACACCCCCTAGACTGCATAGGGGAATGTTCTAAACAAGCAGCTCAGGGCGGCACTACTAGTCCAACCTCTGAGACAAGGGTCTAAGAGACCAGTCAGAAGGAGTACAGAAAAGGCGAGAACAAGACCAGGGCGGTACTACTAGTCCAGCCACTGGGAGAGGACACAAGTCCAGTCTGAGTATACTTATAAAGGACAGTACAAAGTCAAGGCCCTAGCAAGTGAGAGGCTACAGGAACTAGACCAAGCTGTACACAGTGCCGCTGATGATCTTTAGGCGCAAGCGCCTTCGTAAAGATATCAGCTGTATTGGCACCTGAGGCCAAGTGTACTACACGAGCCTGACGTCGCTGCTGTAGCTCACGCAGGAGGAAGTACCGCAGCTGAATATGCTTCGCTCTGCCCTCGAGTCGAGGCTCCTGACACTGGAGGATCATGGCCCTGTTGTCAGCGAACAGGACCGGGGCAGAGCTAGGCCGCTCACCTAAGTCAGTGAGCAAGAAGGTCAGCCAGCGGAGCTCCTGTGCCGCCATGGCACCAGCGTAGATCTCAGCCTCACAGCTGGACTGTGCAACAGACGAGGAGCGGGTAGCTCTCCACGAGACGGCACCTGAGCCAAGGCTGAAGCAGTAGCCCTGGGTAGACCTGAGTGTCTCAGCGTCGTCTGCCCACGAAGCGTCTGTGTGTCCAGTAAGGACCACTGGCCTGCGTCCTCCTAGCACTAACCCCATGCCCGATGTACTAGCAAGATAACGCAAAACCCTCTTAGCGGCAGACCAGTGCTGCGGCCGGTGTCTGCTTGTGGCCACAAAGCGAGCCAGGATGCTGAGAGGGTATGCGAGATCTGGGCGAGTGCAAGTCATCAGGTACATAAGGCAACCCACCAGCTCTGCGTAGGGGCCGCTGGGCTCTACCGACTCCTCAGACACTGGAGCGGAGAGTCTGTGGTCTACAGGCAGAGGGGTGGGCTGTGTAGAGGAGAACTGAAGGCTGAACCTCTGAAGGACCTGGCGCACCAAGTGTGACTGAGTCAGGGTGATGGTGCGCGATGCTCTGTCCCTGGAGATCTGCAAGCCAAGGTAGCGGCGCAGTTCTCCAAGGTCAGTGCACGTGTGTCTCTTCAGCAGCTCTGCCTTCACGGAGGCCAGTGCGTCCCTGTCTGCTGTGGCAAAGACCAGGTCGTCGACGTAAACAAGGATGTAGAACGGAGTCTGGCCAGCACGAACGAAGAGTGAGGGGTCTGCGGAAGACGGAAAGAACTGCAGGTCAGCAAGCGTAGCACGGAGAGTGTCGTGCCACTCACGGGGAGCCTGGCGCAGGCCGTAGACGGGGCGTCGCAGGAGCCACTGGGTCCCATGAGGGAAGGTGCCAGTAAAGCCCTGAGGACGACGCAAGTAGACCTGCTCGTGTAGGCTGCCCTGAAGGAAGGCAGTGGAGAAGTCGAGGGAGTGAAGCTCGTAGTCACGCTGAGCAGCTAGGTGTAACAGAACCCGAAGAGTAGTCGTCTTCGGGGTCGGAGCG